GTCGCGCGCACGGTCAGGGGTTCGAATTCCGGATCGATGCCCCCCTAGGCCAACCAAACCGTCCATCCCTCCGGGTCGGTGAATCAGACTCGTCTGGGAGGATAAAAGCACTGACTTGTACATCGGCTGGCCACTGCAAGTCATTATATAGGCCACATACGCACTCATTACGCCACTACGATTCTGAATAGAAGTCGAGTGCGGTGCATCCCTCAGACGGGATTGATTAACGCCAAAACCATTGTCCTTTATCCTTTATGTCAGGATCAGGATTGATTCCCAGACTATCGGCATTTATGGACGCTACATTGCAAATTTTTCCGAAGTACCAAATCTGCAAAAACAATACGAGCTTAAAGTGTGCCTCTATTCGAGCGCTTTCTTACAAATAGAAAAATTTGTTCCCTCTGAAATCTCGTATAACCTTAAGCATCGAAGTCTCCATTGTGAAATTGTTGACTTTTTATTTCACATTGCAGAGTTTCCAGAGAGTAACATTGACGTCGAATCAGCCGCTAATTTCTGGCAACCAGAGTCGGCGTGCAAGTAAAGCATCGAAATGATCGACAGAAGGGAATCTGAACATTGGAGCTCTTAGTGGTGTTGCCCTTGCGGGACATAATTATCAATGGGCGTTGAACTCTTTCTACTACACTATGGCTGTTAGGTCTGCTTGGTATGCATTGTGGATAATGCAAGTGTAAACCAAGATAGGCCAATTCTCCGGAAAGGCTCTATAAATGTCTGTCTGGTAAGATGCCTTCATGTTTTTGGCACTCATGAACGGCTTTTATGCGATCAAAAATAAAAAAAATCCGGCAAGGGCTAGTGTTTGAGCTTTCCAACTCAGTTCCCACAAGAGGGGAAGGCACCTGATTGATTGTGGTGTAGTTGTTTCTGTGTCACATCGCCTTCCGTCTCCTAATAACTGAATGAAGGGGAATAGGAAAAGTCGTCCAGCTAACATTTTCATCCCGAACTTCCTACCAAGTATCGTTCAGACGTGCCCTGTTGTTAGTTGGGAGGTTAGAGGCTGAAGAGAAGCTCATAGTGGCTGACGCTGAAAGCTCAACTACTCCGAGAAGCTACTGAGCAACGCTGCTCATTGAAAAGAGTTTAGAATGCCTAATCTTCCAGTCATGAGCTGGAGGCGACCTTGCCACAGACATTTTAGAACCTACCGTATATGATTTCCTTGTTTACAATAGTACTGAATCATACTGTGCTAAGGTTTACTCTGCTTAAGTACAAAGTATTCCTATCAAGGTAACGGGATTTATGAGTAGTGAAGATAGTTTTGTATGATCTTTCCTTTACGTACGACTTCGGTGAAGACCATGCCAATCTGGAACCTTCAAAATGTACATATTGTCGATTGCTTTTAATGTTTATTACTTCTCGAGCACATATTTTACTGTTGTATATTACTGCTTTTTAATTGTTCCTTGTAATGTTCGATTTATTGATCAGATCTGTGAATTCTCTCCTTTGATGAAGGGAGGATCGCAAAAGCTCCAAATGATCTCTTGAGAAGATTTTGTAACAGGATGTAACAATGAATGGTTACGGTTAATTGATAGCATTAATTAGTCGAATTCTTTTACGTAGTACTAGTTTCATTTTCATTTAGAACAGAGTAGTGTTCCCTTGACGCACAGCACCCCCATTGTGCGTCCCAGTTCTACGCTATGGTAAACAGAGTCAAGCTTGAGTCGTGGAAGACTGTTCCAAACAGCTCTATCAGTACGAATTTTCAATTCTCCCTGGAAATCCGGCTCGCAAACCTCCTCCACTTTCAAACTAAGGCCCAACAGGGGCGGGCTCGGGGTCATGGGCAAAGAGCAACAGCTCAAAAGGTCTGATGCTGCTAAATTTTTCCTGATTGAACAATTGTGGTCCCTAGTCCCCTAGCCGTGGATTCCGCGATGCAAGTTTGGCTCCAATTTCGATGTTTAATATGTCCAGAAGAGAACGAGTCTCTTCGCAGTTGATTGTTCTAGAATATCTTTCGTGTCAATTATATCCAGTTTTCTTCCATTCCTTTCTGGTGATTGAAAATTGTCCTCATTGAATGCTTAATCTCAGATAAAATAAAGTTTTCTTCTAGCCTAGCTGCTGTGTTACAAGGTGTTAGGTTTAATTTTTCATTCTACGAGAGCTCCAACATCGGAACGTCGGACGAAATCCTTAGAGTTTCGTCGAATGTATGGTAAGTACTGGGTACGGGTACCTCTGAACATCAAACTAACATCGCCGACGCATCATCCTTCTTCATGACAGTTCTGAACGAAAGGAATACTATGTCTCGGGCAGCGAGAGCGATCCACTGGGGCTATGGGTACATTCACCCAGAACTGAATGGACGCGGCAAACCGCGCGGCGAATTTGGTAGTGATTAAAAAGGCTTTGGCGCCTATCAATGGGGCACGGGTTTCAAGTAGATTGAATCAGTAGGGCCAGCTGATGCTACTCATCTATCCCACTTCGATTTTGTGCCTCAATGATAGGCGCCAAAATCGTTTTAATCACCACGAATTTCACCGCGTCGCCTGCCGCGTCCATCCAGTTCTGGGTGAATGTTCCGTCTCCCATCCACTGGAATATCATGGCTCGTGACAGGGACAATTTGAGACATTACCGGCACCAGCTCGAGAAAATCTATAATCAAAGAGACGACGGGTGATGTGAGCCAAATGAATCATCACACGAACGTGGTCCTGATATCGAATCTCCGATCGATAGTCGTCATGGTCAGCAAGTATACCATTCCTTCGGGGTCGGTTTTTCGATACCACGGTCATCTGGGAGGACTGGAGCACCAACTCTTCATCGGCTGATCATCGGCATTTTCGGCTCCCCTATGATTCTGAATGGGAGTTGAATGCGTTTGCGCACTTCATGAAGGGGGAGGGGATTATCACGCGAAAAGACATTATCCCTCATCATTATGCAAATATTATTTCATTTTCGTAATATGATGTGTACTTGACAGCTAAATCCTAGTCAAGTGTATTGTATTTTGTTGCCAGATCTCTCAAAATTCCTCCAAAACCTTTATTTCACTACTTCAAGCCATAAACAAGTAAACAACTGCAATTTGGGATGACAATTCGGTGAGGAAGAAAAACTGACTATGAACACAACATATGACATTGAATGAATGTTTTCGAAGCTATTGGAATTGTCTCAGTCTTCTAGTCTTCAGGCGTGGGTAACTCTCCCCAAAAATCGCGCCGCTCCCGCCGCAAACTATCGCGCGTAGTCGCGGAAAAGGGGAAGGTTCGAACTTACAGTGGAAGTATCTCCGCGGAACCACTGTCGCTTGCCGTAGGAATTCGGGGAAAAATACCGCCATCCTGGCCTTTGGCGCTACTTTTTTAGGTCGTAAACTTCAATATGTGTATGGTGGCCGTTCAGAAGGGAGCGCCTATCAACATTCTGGATGTGGGGCATAGTGGAACTTTGGAAGAAGACTTGGAATAAAATGACACAATCTCATATCAACGAGGTTTTTTAAAGGTTAGGTGGTTTTATTCATCTCAGAATGTCACGCGATCCATTTCTGAGTAATTTCTTATTTCACTTTCGGATGGATTATATTTCAGGGGCCGTACGTGGGCTATTAGGTTCAAGACCGGATAAGGCACAGAAGTCGTGAGTTGAGACGATTATACTCTCAACAGCTTCGAAAGCACATCCCATTCAGAATCGAATATATTGTAGAGAATTTTTTACAGTTTTCTGCAAAGGCGATTTTGGTGACCGTACACGTGAGGAAGAAATCTGAAATGGAAAATAAATATCGGTGATTGATTTTGTACCGCATATATGGAAGTAGTGCTTTGACAGCGGTACCCCAACACTTTGTCCGGTAGGTATGCAGTCTTCTGAGGCACTGAGAAAAATCTCAACAATCCGTAAGCCTTCGGGTTTCATTTTATTTCGATCTTCATGAGCTCAATGTTATGTTCCTCGTATTAATTTTCTGTTCACCTTCTTTCCACCTCTTCATGTAAGCATTCGTACGCTCAGCAGAGTTTTGTGTAGTTAAAAATCAGTAATATTGAATTCCTAAAGTATTAACACATGAAAGACAAAGGTTTACTCTGCAAGTGACAGTGCTCCAGAGCACTCAAGCACATGGTGTGCTGAATTGATAAAGCATGCGGCACTATGGCAGAGGTGGTGCAGTGGCAAGTACATAATTCACTTCATATACGCATGGTCACGGATTCGAAGCCCGGGCCGACTCCGCTTGGGCCTACCAAGCCTTCCATCCCTCCGGGGTCGGTTAATTGGTACAAGACTTGGCTGGGAGGATAAGAGCACTGACTTGTACATCGGCTGGCCACCGCAATTCATTGTATAGGCCACATTCGCATTCAATCCGCCACTACGATTCTGAGTGGAAGTCAAATGCGTCTTTCAGGTGGGATTAATCAGTGCCCCGTGACTTTATCTTTTAGACGATACTATACGGCAAAACGTGCTGTGGATAAGTGGCACGAAATGCGATTTTCAAATGAGTTGAACGTGACTGGACACCGCCAGGAAGGGCAATGTCGCAACCGTATCGCACATGACTTACGTCCAACTCGAAACAATTGGTTAGCAGATGGTTTGGTTGAGTGACGAAGCATCACTCAATATGAAGTATGACCAGTGATGTGACCAAGCTCCAAACCTTGAGCAGGCGGTAACGAAAGGATTAGGAGCGGAGCGGTGCTTTCTCGAAGTAAACGTTGATGCAGAAGATCCTTTGGATAGGAGTAGGGGCGATGACTCAATGAAAAATAGACTGCGGCGATTCGACGTTTTTATTGGAGGAAGCGAAAAGTGAGTGGAATGAATTCATCGATAGTTAAAGTAGTATGCCTGCTTCCCAATTTGTAACAGTTACAATCTCCGGGTATCCTCGTGGTCGTTGGAATCAGCTGTTCATTCTGGAACAGGTGGTATGATAGTGCTGATNCGTCCAACTCGAAACAATTGGTTAGCAGATGGTTTGGTTGAGTGACGAAGCATCACTCAATATGAAGTATGACCAATGATATGACCAAGCTCCAAACCTTGAGCAGGCCGTAACGAAAGGATTAGAAGCGGAGCGGTGCTTTCTCGAAGTCAACGTTGAGGCAGAAGATGGTCTGGATAGGAGTACGGACTCGACGAAAGTCAGACTGTGGCGACTCGAAGTTGATATTGGAGGCAGCGAAAAGTGAATGGAATGGACTCATTGATAGTTAAAGCAGAGTGCCCGTTTCCCACTTTGTAAGCTCGTCTTCGAAGGGAGGAAAAACCACTAACGGTTACAATGTTCTGGATCCTCGTGGTTGTTGGAATCAGCTGTTCATTCTGGAACAGGTGGTATGATAGTGCTGATAACGGCTGAACACTGCTTGTGATAAGTGTTCGCAACATGCAAATCCGAATATCGAGTGATTTCAGAGAAACATTAATTTGGACATTGGTTCGCTATGATTTATTTCACAAAAACTGTAGGACACCACTGCCAGTGGAAGATAAGGTCCAGGTGATTGTTCTTTTCTAAAAAAAAGGGACTCTAGTTTAGTTTCCTAGATACGACCCGCTTACACATTCAGATAAAATATGTATCATAGGGCAGAAGCGGTGCAGCGGCAAATGATGAGCTATCGCACTCACATGGTCTGGTGACCGAATCCGGCACTCGACCGAATCCGGCACTCGTATAGGACAACCAAGCCTTCCATTAGAACGGGGTTGTCTATTTGGTACCATACACTTGGGAGCTCAAAAGAACGGAGGCGAATAGTGGAAGAAACAGTCCATTCTACAGAACTGACGGAAAAAAGCCAAGACGGGCATTTTTCGGGAATTGTAAGGCTCCATAAAATAAGTAAGACTGGATGTCGGACGAGAAAGTGACGCATTTAGGGGGTGTCTGGACGAGCTGCACAAGTGTTTGTGCCATTGCGCATAGCTGGCTACAGTAAGCTGCCTACGTGGAGACCGATGCAAATAGTGCGACCTCCATAGAGTCTATACCCCCTTTTAGAGGTTTGTTCCTGGGGGAGTGAGCCGGCTGAGCAGCTTTTGAAGACCTCATCACTCCCTTCTCAAGCCGTTTTTCGACCCTAGGCGTCTCTTGTGCTATTCCACCCTGGAAAAATTCTAGAGACCGTTTTCATCGTGAACTGCGCCGTGAGGGAAAAGCGCATACTGCATAGAACTCTACTGTGAAGGCATTAAAATAAAAAGTTTGCTTTACTAGCTGGTAACTGTGAATTTATCTAGGGAGACCAGATGATACCTGGAAAACTCACCATTTAGGAGCCTGTTTCTTCTGAATTCCGCTAGTAGAGGGCTTCTGTCTTTTGGGCTTCCAAGAATCTACCCAAGGATATCCTTGTATAAGAGAAAACTTACGGCGAGGAGGAGGTTTGGAGCGCATCTTTTTCATCTTTTCCTTAATAAACTTTATTTACTAAGATTCACTGCATGCTCTCCGTAACAGCTAGTTATATGCATAATGTTATATGGTACAATATAAAGTGATAGGTTACCGTATGGCATGATCGGATGCTCTAACAACTTTATGGGATTATCAGTGTGTGGAACTGTTATGATGAGTAAAAAATATGTAGTATGATTTGATATGATTTAGTACCCGAGTTTTCAGGGGGGGGGGGGGGGGGGGGNGGGGGGGAGGAGGTGTATTGGTTTATTAAGGCAAAAAGTACACAATTGGATCAATCTGTCCGATAGAAAGAAACAACTAAAGAAAGGTGCTCTGACTATGTCTTCTTTCCTATATCCAAAGAGTATTTTACAGTAACTCCAGTCATCATTTTCTCGATAATGAAAGGACCGTGTGCAATATTTCGAAAGTTACGGATCTCAATCTGATGCAGTCATGACGACAAGCGAAGAAGCTCATAGGAAAAAATTGCTAGAGATTGTTTGTATAGGCAATGCCAAGGAGATTTCCGTGGACTGAATGTATTGAAAATCAGTCTCTAAGATGAAAGACTAAAGATCTCGATGGGGTATGATGGCAGTACGGCAGCAGTTGAAATTCCTTATCCACACAATAAGTTACCAGTGAGATCCGTTTGTTTTGAATATATAAGTATAGGGGCTGTGTGGTCTATCTGTTTGGAGAAAACCGAAAGAAATTGCCGAAAACCAGTTGAATTAGGTTCTCATTTTCCATGCTGCATCTAGGAATGCTTGATATCACCTTTCTCTGGTACATCAGCTAACCCATTTTGATTGCTTGAAGGAAAAAGGTGGGTGAAGCTTCTTTGAGTTTTCCTTTCAGTCGGTTGTTATCCAAAACGAGTTATATTTTGGGATTTTTCTTTGGGCTAACTTTCGAACTATTTTAGGTTTAACAACAAAGCCCATTCGCAGCTATTAAAACCGTCTGGGGATGGATCTCAGTGGAAATGGGACAAATTTGGACAGAGGGATCTTACTGTGAAAAGATAATACTGAAGAATCTGGGGGGAGGTGGCATTCTGAGTGGATGTGCGTTTGAGCACTAAATACGAATCCGTCTTCTGAAATTGTAGAGCAAATACGGTAGGGTCCACTTCATGATATTCGAGGAGTAAAATAAAAGAATGCCTATGGTCGACGAAAATTCAATTGTGATTGCTATCCCAACGGTATACGATCATTGTCGGTTCGGTGTCCACTACCGAATCATTTTCCTTTTGTCGTTTCGTGATTTGTCATACGAAGGCATGATTGACGCATGCCTAGATCACCGTTGCTTAACTGTATGCCCCTTCTACAGTACGCCTTCCAAAACATCCCCTTTATTAATAAAGAAATTGTTTCATTACGCCTATTTTTGCCGTAGGGATTTGTATTAGTGACCATGAGCATTAGAATGGCGAAGAATTGGGGGCAATACATCAGATTTTGCATAACGCCCGATCCTACGCTTCGACATAGGCTGCTTCGTTCACCACAGGTGCTTTTCCACTGCTTATGGCAGATTTTGGGGAAAATGTGGTGCATGAATATCCTGGGAGCATTTGCATTCCCAACACATTCGCATAATCTTCAAACCGGGGCGTAGGGTTTCGAAAATGATAAGCCTCTGAAACATACTAACTTACAGTGAAAATTGAGACGGTCGGTACAATAGGTTGTTCACTAAAGACAAATCCCGGATTGTTTTTAATGTCGCTTGCGGGATTCTTTTCCAAATTTGTTTGTCCGCTTATTCTCCCAATTACTGTGGTGAGGTGGTGAAGTGGCAAGTGGGACCTTAAACATTACTCTAACATTGCCAGAGGATCAAACCCCAGTCTATACTCGTCTTGGCTAACCAAGCTTTCCATCACGTCATTTTTGATCACTTAGTACCAGGCTTGTCTAGGAGGTTAGAAAACCGACTTATTCGTCGGACGGCCACTGCGGATCCCCTCCGGTTTACATACCTATTCAGAACTCTACGTTTATAAATAGAACCTAACACTGGGTGCATCCCAGCATCGGGATCGGATCGGATCGCCTTTATCTTTTATCTTTGATAACCATTGCACATGTGAAAAATTTAAATTTGGGAATACAAAAATAGGCAAAGAAGTAACAAACGTTGGGAATTTGTGGTTGACTGGAATGGCGAAGACATAGACTAGGAGACAGGAACTGAACACAAACTCCGTAATTTCACAAATCTCGTATTCCAACATACTATGTATTTCAGAACCGGTGACAGCTGTTCGGCAATTCTGTTGTTCCTCTCAATTGCTTCAAGTACCTGCTCGGTGATTTCGAAAGGCTGTTCTTCAGAGCCATTCTGTAATAAAATAATTATCTAGAACATTCTCGCTATTTTCATGGCTTTGAAAATGTTCATGAAAATAAGGTAAATAGATACTAAATTCTTACTGGATACATCCAATCAGGAAGGTAGGGAGTGTAGTCAGTTAGAGGAGGAGGCGTCGTGTGTTCTAGAACAGGTGGAATAGCACAGCTACATGGGTACTTGAAGGGATCATTGTAGGGATCATATCCAAAGGTTGGCTTTGGGTTAGAAGACTCGGAACTCATCGGTATTGTGTGACAAGTCTCGGAACTCATCGGTATTGTGTGAGAAGATCCGGAACTCATCGGTATTGAGTGAGAAGACTCGGAACTCATCGGTATTGGGTGAAGAAACTCGGAACTCATCGGTATGAATGGAGGCTTGGCGTAGTGCAGGAGTGAAGATAGCCTATATTGGCGACCATAGAGTTTTTTGTGAAAACCCAGCTGCCGCCAAATTATCATATCACAACAGTAAGCTTTGGTCTAGTGATTTGCAGGAAAGAATTCTAAGAGCAAGGGGTTTTTCATACGACATGAGGAGCGATGGTATTTCATTTTGATTTCGCCAAACTTCTTCTATCATATGTATATTCAGAGCTCGAAACTATGATCCACAACAAACATCCCTTCATTCTGAAGTTAACGGGACGGATTCCGCACTAGGGATCCCTCAATTAATTTTTTCCAAGTGAGTTTGATACCGAGAATCTAGCTTAGGAGGAGTGAGGAGTTTGATTTGCTTGAGTCGTTCTTTTTCGAGATTTGCTCGCAGACCACTAAAGAAGAATCAAGGCTGCATACTTGTCCTTCTCATTGTAGAGCTGAGTGACTGAATGGAACTTAGGTTCCAATAGAGAGAAGACATACTAAGTTTCTGTATAAAAGAAAAAAACTGTACCGGTATCGGCTCGTTTA